TTCAAGATTAAAAAAATTAAGCTTGACCCGAAAAAAAGTGAAAAGCTTAAACTTTTGTATATGTAAAAAATATATATTACATTTCAAAATTATTAACATAATAATTTAATTAAAGTTTATGATTATTATTTATTTCTATTAAAGTCATTATAAAATTTTAAAATAGATTATAATAGAACTGTATTTAAAAAAAATCTTAAAAATAAATAACTTAATTAATTTTTTAAATAATAATAACAACAATAATAATAATAATATTTTATATTATGTGTGCATACATACATATTTATCATAAATCAAACTTATTATCTTTATATTTATTTATGATTATGATTCCTTTATGTTATATTTGATTAACCTATATTATCATTATGAAAGTAAATTATTTATTGGTTGGATATAACTTTGTTTAGTCCTCTTCAGAGGTTTAGAAAAGCCAACCATGTAATTTTCCCCTGCGCATTCCTTGATTTGGAATAACTTAGTTTCCATCTCCATCCAAACCAGAAAGGGGAAAAAGTATTGCAGAAAATACTCCTTTTACAAGATTGCCAGAAACGTTCGGCATCATTCTAGACATCTGCTATGTATTCATCGCTCTGTAAATGAGCAGTTAATAAGTGTAAACCAGCATATATAAGATCAGCTTCAGGATGAGTTTGATCGCCAGCAATGAAAGCATGTACGTGATTCTTGAGTTATAGCCAGCTACAACCAGGCATCTTCTTTACATTTTGTTGCCTCATTGAATCTCTAACATCCAATACTTCTTCATATCGACCAGCTGCCACATAAACATTTGAGATCAGAACATAGTTGCCACAATGCTCAGGATCAAGTTCAAATACTCTCTGTGCAGCAATCTCAGCAAGATATGCATTCCCATGGAGCCGACATGCTGCTAATAAAGCCCTCCATGGAACTGAGCTCATTTCAATAGGCATTGTTACTGCCAATTCATAAGCCTCTTCAAGCTGCCCAGCTCGTCCAAGCATGTCAATTACACAGGTATAATGCTGAATGCCCGGGGCGACACCGTATTTCAAACTCATTTGCCTCAAGAATTCACGTCCCTTATCCAGAAGACCAGCGTGACTGCAGGCTGACAAAACTCCTACGAATGTGATCTCATCAGGTGCAAATTTGGCCTCGCACATGCATGCAAACATTTCTAGTGCCTCCTTGCCAAAACCATGCATGCCATAACCCATGATCATAATATTCCAAGATGCCACGTCCCTACTGCTCAACTTGTCAAATATCAACCGTGCATCTCCCATGCTACCGCACTTTGCATACATATCCATTATAGCATTATTTATTAGCAAATCACCACTGTCTCTACAGTTTCCAGTATTTGCAAATCCATTAATAATCATATAACCATGAACCTCTCGACCATTCATCAATGCAGCCAGATGAGCACAAGCAGGAAGGAGTGTTGTCACAGTAACCAGATCAGGCCGAACACGAGCAATTATCATCCTACCGAAAAGCCTCAAGGTTCCATCATGATCACCACACTGTTCATGAACGCATAGGATTGAGTTCCATGAGAATATGTCCCTTTCCTCCATCCCCTCGAAAATCGCCATTGCATCAGTAACACACTTGCACTTTCCATACATGTCAATCAACGCATTCAAAACTGCAACAACCAAACCATAGCCCAGTTTCACTGTGAGACCATGAATGACTCTCCCATTATCAACATCCCCCAACACAGCAAAAGCTGACAGAACCCCAGTAACCGTATACCTATTCATGAGAATATTTTCCTCCCGCATTTTCATGAAAACCGATAGAGCCTCATCAAACTGACCAATCTGCGCATGCCCATTAACCATGGCATTCCAAAGCACAACGTCATCTCTCACAGGCAATTCATCAAACACCTTCTGTGCTTCCTCCACTAACACAAACTTCAGGTACGTATTCACCAAAGCACTGCCAACAAACACATCTAAATCCAAACCATACTTAAACACCAACCCATGAATCTTCTTCAACTCCAAGACCTCCGTGGCATCACAACAACCGCTTATCAAACAAGGAAAGGTGTACCTATCAGGCACAGTACCCAAAACCCTCATTTCCCTGTAAACCTCCAACCCACTCAAAGCAAACCCATTTCCAACAAATCCCGAAATCATTGCATTGTAAGAAAACACATTGCGATCATAATTACTGAAGATTGAAATCGCATATGGCATTTGGTTGCATTTACAGTACATGTTGATAACGCTAGTGACGGCGAGAGGGGAGGTATTAAGGAGACCATTGATGAGCATGTAGCCATGAATTTGCTTACCCTTTGTGAGGTCCTTGTGGCGGGCACATGACTGCAAAGAGGCAATACATGACGCGAGACTGCAATTGGTAGTTTCCCGTGGCTCTTGTTGTTTTGCAGGTCGCGAGGAGTAGTTGAAGGAGAGAAAGAAAGAGGAAGGAGAAGGGATTCCATGGATGTTTGAGGTTCTAGAGAAGAGAATAATGCATCTGTTTCTATTCATTTAACGGTACAAGAGCTCCGATATGACTGGAAACCAAAATAAGGTCGGCGAAACAAGTTTTTCTCCATCGAATATATGTTTCAAAAGCAGAAACAAGATGAAGATGAAGTACCCATGACGGTTGCCAGAACCAACGGATCAAGCAAAGCTCAAAAATAAATACACTGGTTGTACTTGTTCGAAGCAAATCAGAGACATCCACTATTACGTAATTTTGATAAAAAATTTATATTATTATTGATACAGGCATGATACTTAACGCAATAGCTACGGTACTGCACGGATCGATAAGTACAGCACCTAGTATCTATTGTTTACCATTAGAACAACTTGATTAACTAATCCTATTTGTTTCTCCAACTTTTATCTCTCAGTGTCAGCATCGGCCCAACAGAGTACTTTCACCGTCAGTGTTCTTTCTTGTCTCTATACAGTTCACCGCTTTCATTGGAAATTCCTTCTTCTTCTACCATACTCCAATTTGGTAGTTTCCACTGCTTTTTTTAGGGTTAAGCTCTGAAATTTGACGATGGACTGAAAATGTTAAATAATTAATAAAATGTATAAATTTTTATTTAAAAAATAAATTATATTTAAAATAAATTTTACATTATTAATATAAATAAATCAATATACCATATCAGTTGACTGTTGCAAACAGATGTAAGCTTTCTTGCCAAATTAATTTTATGTGTGGAAGCTACATAAAATATACTAATACTAATTGGTTATAGTTTTTCTAAATATTAAATTATATTTTACACTAATAGTACTTAACACTACTTGAATATCCGAGTATTTGAGTTTAAAATGATTCTTGCATAGAACACGAACTTTCTATATTCATGAATTTAATTGCCCGTATTCTTATATTTTCGTTTTCCGACAAAATGAACAATCAAGTATTATTATATTCTAACTTTATGGCAAATACATAAATCTATAAGAATAAATATTTATGATCAACCTATATAAATATTATTTCCTTTCTATGATAAAATAATTTTGAAGTTTGAAGTATTATAATTATTGCTCAAAATACAATAAATTTTTTCACATGAAAAACTATAATGTAAACAAGAAATCATATGAAATGTTAGAAGAATCTTGAAGAAATTTGATCACGATTACAAAAATAAGTTAAACAATTGTGATGAGATAACATTGACTAACCAAAAATTCTCTTTCAAATCCCATCGAGATTATTTTAACATATTCACTTAAATTTACATAACTATGACATAATATTCGTCAAAAATAATAATTAAATTAGAATTTTTTTTTAAATTAATGAACTCAATTAAAACTAAACCTAAAATCCAAGAATCCCGTTATAATTTATTCAATTAGAATTTTTGTAGAATATTATTTGTGATACCATAATTAAATAAATTAATCAATATAATTTTGATTTCAAATCACTCACACTTGGACTCTGATATATATATATATATATATATATAAGTCTTCCTCAATAATTGTAATAAATATATACATATATAACTAATAAATAAATAACTATCTGATCATGATTCACATCTCTATTTCATTAAATATAATCCTATCTCTCAACCACCTCCAAACATCATTTCTTATTAATAAATGTATTAAATGTAAATTTAGATTATATCGATTGCTTTGCCAAACAAGTTTTATACTTTAAAAAAATAACAATCAATTCAAGAATAAGAGAAAGAACTAATGTCATGTCCGAGTATCTCGATTAAGATATTTATAAATGATATTTTTTGTATAAACAATATTCTTATTTTTTTTTTTATAATTCTCGATACAAAGGAAAAAGTTTAAAAATTCTTAAATATGAGAATATTTAATTGAGTATCGAAGAGTCAATAAATTTAAGACAAAATATTAAATGAAAGTAGATCGTTTTCTTTTTTTTCTTGAGGAAATCATCCTTACGGTGATATTTTTTATTTTTCTTTTAATTTATAGGGTTTAACTTGAATTTTACATTCTGTATGTTATCATTAAAAGTTTGTAATATCATTGATTATATTGTTATTAATTTATAAAACATTAATTATTTCTTAAAATGTATTTATTTTTTTAAAAATAAAAAATAATGATTGAGAAATCTTAAAGTTATAAAAAAATATTAAATTAGTTTCTAAAATTTGATTTTCATTACAATTTGGACCCAATTTTTTCTATTTGTTTAAAACGTTTAGTTTTTTTTTTCATTTTATAATAGAAAAAATTAAATAGTTAGAGTATGTTTGAATGTTTTAAAAAATAACTCAAAATAATGATTTTGACTAAGTAATTGAATTAATAAATTAATACTGAACATATTTTTTATTTTGATTACATATAAAATGATTAATTTTGATATGTTGTATCTTTGTTTCTCAATAAACAAACAATCGAAAGACACAATTATTATAATCGAAGAATTATAATCTGAATCTAAAGTGATTTTTTTTTTTATGATTAAAATTTGGAAGTTCAATGACTTATACCCTATAAAATCTATTATTTCTTTGAGTTGAATGATTGGTATTTTTATATATTTTTTTAGTAGAGATGTAGGTTTCAATCGTGTTATATATATTGTATGTAGTTATGTTGTTGTCACAACTCTTATGACACAAGACATAGAAGATTCCGCAAAAATATAATCAATAAATTCAACCGGAGTAGCTACTAATCTATTTGAGGTTAAGATTAGATATTAATTGTAATATTCTTAATTAATTTTTAAATGTTTAAAATTAGTATATGAATATAATTTTTGAATTTTTATTTAATGTATAAAATTTAATTTTTAATTTTATAAATTATTAATTAATGTAAAAATGAAGAAAATTAAATGGAGGATGAAACTGAAAATAATTTTGGGAGAAGTGATGAAAATTTAGATTATGGGAGTATTTTTAAAAGAAAATTCGAAAATTTGGGGTCAAAATGTAATTTAAAAAAAATGTGTCACGTAGGATGCCCAATCAACAGCTCCGGCGAACTGAAGCGCATCCCATGACAAGGGACGCTCATCCGGTGCCACGCAGCGATCCGCGTGCCTGTAATCAGACTATCCAGATTTATTCCCACACGCACGGACGGTCCGAATCTGTTCCCTTCCCAGACGCGATTGGATGGTGAGATTTAAATGCGATGAACGG